GAAAATTAGTCCCCGCCACACACACGCGCGCGCGCGCACACACACACACAAATCGTGACCCCGCCAAAGAGCCGTGATATAAGATAACGGCGAGGTGATAGGGGCGGGGGCGGGGGTGAAGGGAAAGAAAGGGGGCAATAGAAGAGAGGGGAGGTAGAGGGGAGAAAAAGGGCAAGGGGGAGACAGGGAGGTGGATAAAAGGGGTGATGCTGGAGGGATCCGCTCAGGGGTTGTTGTTTGTCCTTTTAAAAAAAATAAACAGCGGACCTGCGGGCACAGGGGGCCTAGTTTCTTTCCACCAGCACCTTTCTGGAGACATCAAAGAGCCAATTAACTCCGTCGCAAATTGGGTGGCGTGCTTACACTAGAAGGCTGTTGAGGGCAGCAAAGGCTCACGGTGCAGCCGTCTGATTCTGCCAGCGACAAGCCTGTTGTGTGTGCGTGTGTCTCCTTTTCTCTCCCTCTCTCTCTTTGAACGGCGGCTCTTGAATGTGTGCCATGCTTTAGACTTTCAGTCTGTTAAAGGATTTTAATTAGGCCTTGACTCCACATCACCGTGGGTGCCTTTGTGGACTGGTGAATGGTACAAGAGTAGTGTGGATCCAGCCCCCTATCCAGCACTAAGCAGCCGTGTAAGAAATACTCTTTCAGCAGCCGACGTGCCACTTCACTACAGCCTGTCTTTTCACTCCCCTTCCTTCGGCTTTTGTGCCTTTTGAAATTATTAAAATGTTAACATGACTGCAGAGCCTTTGATATTTAAGACAAAAGAGGAGGAATTGCAGGCAAGAGAGGCATTCAACAAACTGCAAATAGAGAGGGGGGAGAATCAAGCCACCCTTTCTTCCCTTACTCTGCCAGCTTTTCCACTTCGAGGAATTACTTCCCAACCTTTATATATTATATTATATATATATTTGACTTTAAAACATGTGTGCACTCCAGGTTTCAAGAGCGTCAATTTAATTACTGATAAACACCCAAATATATTAGAATGCCTAAAAAGAACAAAGAGCTTGATACTCGCATTTGAATTGCTATCAGGTTTCTTTTTCTTTTTTCTTTTGGCAAACAATTGATTCTTTCCGTTGTTGTCTAGGCACTGGATCTCTTCTACAGAGGTGTGTTGTTGCGAGACCTCGCGTGCCAACGCCTGCGACCATTTCCCCCTTTTCCCTCTTGGAGACAGGATTTCCCTAAGTGTTGGAGATCAGTAACCTGTATGTTTAATTCATTTAAGAAACACAAGAAAGCAATTTGCAAACGTAAAGCCTCAGAAATCCCCGATTATGTGATCCCTCTTTCTGTCTCTCTCCCCGAAGATGGCCAATGCCCCAGATACCCTCCTGCACAGCCTATTTAAACTAAGCTCTCTCATGCCACTTTGGCATGACACCGACTGCAACTTCAGTGCATGCACGAGTTTTGCAACCAGCTCATTCCATGTATGTCTCTGTCTCACACTCGAATATGTCTGTCAGGAATTAAATAATGATATGCCTTACCATATACTTACAACATGCCACCTTACACGTGTGATTTTTGAGAGATAAAAGCAGCCCCTATTTTTCAATTCTAGGTTTGTTTCAATAAGAAATAAAGCAGCCTTTCCCCCCATCTTGCCAGCAGTAAATAAATCTCATTTGCATATCTTTGCAGAAAGTTGCTGTTCTACTAGAATAAAAACTGGGCTTACCTATTTTGGCACGGTATGCAAAGTAGGATTGGCTGGATCAATTAGAGAATTATCTATTTATGAAATGTCTAGCTGCAATGAAAAGAGCTGGTACAATTATGTACTGTTGTCTTGACAACTGGGAAGGACTGATTGGATCATTTTATCAGTAGGGTTGCTGATTTCAAATACTGAACAGCAAGCTGCCGAAAATAGTCAGGGATTTGGGTTTGAGAAAGGGGAGATTTTTTCCCCCTTTTTCTTCTTCTTTGCTAGTAGGGGGAAATAAATAAATAAATGGAGGGAGGGGGGGCGTGGAGGGAGGTTCGCCAAGAAAAGTCCGCGAAGCAGATTTATTGGCAAAAAGCCAGAGTTGCTATTGTAAATTTCCTCGTCGTTTTCAATGTGAACCCAAACTCATATTTGAACCCGGAATCAGGGCAAAAGCATTATCGCTCTGCTACTTTGTTGCTAGAAGTGGATTTTTTTGTTAATATTTTACTGTTACATCTGACAGGATTTCACATTTTATGTAGCCCGCCTTTAGTACATTGAACTGCCAGACAGAGATATTAATACCCTGAGTGACTGTATTTTAATTAAGCAATTTCATGCAAATTACAAATTTTAGATTGCCAAATAATATATTGCATAAAAATTGTAGGCTGGCTGATCTGATATGCATGGAGTATTACTCTTCCAGGCGCTGTGCATACATGGGGAAATGAACAAAAATGCTAATTTCCAATCTACTATGCAAACGGTAAAAGATGCCTATTTAGATACATATGCTTTCTTTAGGAAGGGTAAACAGTTCTTTAAT